ATTCTTCAGCTCAATTCCCAAATGACCCTGTCCCAACAGGCTGCATCTGGGGACCCAAGTCACCTGACCTGTTTATTCAGGAGTCACAATGATTTCTTTGCTGCCTGCCTTTTCTCTTTTCTCTGCATTCAATCCTGTCTCTGCTATTAGTTTTATGACCTTGGGCTGTTCTCTTCCCACTCTCTGAGCCTCAGTGTCCTTGGTTGTGAAATGGGGTGTCCCCTTACTCACTGTCTGGGCCTACTTCCAGGAAGCAATCCAGTAGAAATGGGGCGAAGGACAGGGACTCTGAAGGAGTCCTGAGTTCAAATTCTAACTCTCCAGGATATCCTTGGACAAGTCATTAAAAAAACACACCTCTATCTTCAGTTTCCTCACTGACTTCCTTGCCTTGACAAGAGGCTTAAATGAAATAATACATGTAGAATACTTAGCATAATGTCTGTTATATAGTAAGTGTTATAATAGCATATATTGAGTGTCAGCTGCTAAAACCAAGACAGTTCTGGAAAAGCCGGGATGAACTGGGATGATTGGTCACCCTGCAGGAGACTCAGAGGCGCCAGGCAAGACCATGGGGACTTAGAAATGGCCGGGAGCTCACCTATCCACCTGAGTTCAGGTGTTGGCATGCTGGAAGGTATTGTCTGTTGGATCTCCTCAGCTCCGCACACCCAGCCCCTCATGTCGTTTTACTCTCCTTTAGAGCGTTCCAGGCCTTAATTCACCTGGTAAAATGCAACATGGGCACAGGGATCCTGGGACTTCCCCTGGCTTTGAAGAACGCAGGCCTCCTGGTAAGAAGGCCGCATGGGTGGGGCCAGTTCAACTGGGTTATAGCAGGGAGGTGGGGGGAGAGGCTCTAAGGGTTTTTAATTACTTGCATTGAGCAGTCTTTCTGGGTTTGGAGTCTAGACATCTAGCCTGAATTTGAGTTCCGGCTCTCCCACAGACTTTGAGTGGCCTTTGCAAGTTATTTGTCTTCTCTCTGGGCCTCCATTTCCTCCCTTGTAGAACGCAAGGCTTGGATTATGACTTTTCAACTGTGCTCTACGGAGCACTCATTCACGGGGATGCCTCAGAGACCACTAAAGGTCAGAATTCTGGCTCCCCTATTCCACCATCACACCCCATTGTCATTGCTTTACATGCTTTAGTGGAGTACTCCTTGAGATTGAATTTGCTAAAAAGGGCTCACAAACCAGTTGGTAGAAAGTTGAGCCCTGAATATCTGCACTACCGAATGCCTCCCCGTAGTATTCTTCACAAATTCATTCTCTTCTATCTTCCCTGCCCCTTCGCTCCATTCTCCAGATGGGCCCACTGAGTTTGCTGGCGATGGGCCTCATCACCTGCCACTGTATGCACATCCTGGTCAGGTGTGCCCAGCGCTTCTGCCACAGGTGAGGAAAGCAGCTTCCTTGTGTCAATTCCTTTGGCACTTGGTCCTCAGGGACATCCCAGAAACATCCTACACATAACAAGAGTTGATTTCTTAATTTCCTCCAATAATGCCATGAAAGAGAAAAAAGCATTTAGGGCAGGGACGTAAGGTGAGGCTCTGCCACTGACTCATTAGGTGTTCTCAATCAGGCCATTGTGTGCATCTTCTTGGCTCACCTGTAAATTGGGCATAAACAATCCATGCCTAACCCTGCCTCAGAGAATTGACATGAGAATCCAGTGGGATCATGGATATGAAAACTGTACCCATGCAAGTTGTGTATTATGTAGTAACTACTCCACTTGACAGGCAGGGAAAGCAAGCCACCAAGGAAATACCACCAGGTGTCAAAGTCCAAACTAGAACTTTGGTCACCGTCCCAATGTTCTTTCCACTTCAGCTGGCTCCGGCTTGCTGTGTGTCTCCTGGCTTTTAGTATATGATCTTAGATTAAATTGCACTTTCTCCTGCAGGCTTAACAAGCCCTTTATGGACTATGGGGAGACAGTGATGCATGGGCTAGAGGCCAGCCCCAACGCCTGGCTCCGGGACCATGCCCACTGGGGAAGGTACCTTGTTCTCGCTTTGCTAGAAGTGGGATAAGATGTAGGAGGAGGAAATATAGACATCAGGCATGCCTTGTTCCCTGGAAAGCTGGCTCATGGAGCACAGAGTGTTAGACTTTCCACATGGAAGAGGTTCATTGGAAACCTTCCTGACCTAGCCCCCTCCTTGTATACCTCCAATAACAGGGTGTTCCTCCTTTGCTATGCAGCTCTAATATTATTCACTTTTTTAATTGATTTTTTTAGAGAGAGAGAGACATCTATTTGTTGTTTTTTATGCATTCCTTGGTTGCTTCTTGTATGTACCTTGACCAGAGATCGAACCCGCAACCTTGGGGTATCAAGACAACGCTCTAACTAACTGAGCTACCCAGCCAGGGCTTCCCTTTTTTATTAAACCACATTTACCCAGTTGCTACAATGTACCAAGCCCTGGAAATACTGTGAGGAACAAGGCAAACAAGGCTTCGCCCCCACAGAACTGGATGCTAAACAGTTTAGGAGGCAGTTAGTTAATAACCACTGGGGTAAGCACAGTGAGGGAAAGCAGCAGCTGCTGCCCAGCAGGTAAGGAGATGTGTGCGGGCTTGTGCGGGCCTCCTGGGAGGAAGCAGTGGAGATGAGTTCTGAAGGAAGGGATTTGGAAGGCTGAGGAATCATCTCTGGGAAGATGGGCAGGAGCCTGGGGGGCCTTCCAGGAAGAAGGAAGAGTGAGGTCCGAAGGTCCTGAAGCAGGGAGGGGTACACGGCACTTTCAAGGTATAGAAAGACCAGGTACCTTGAGGGCGGAGAGTCAGGGAAATGAAGCTACAGTAGGATCCAGAGGCCGATCTAGCTGTACATTTTCGACCCTCTTAAAGACTTTATTCTTTTCTTAAAAGCAACCCAGGAAGCCATTGGTTTTAAGAAGGGAAGTAATCATGTCTGCATTGTTTAAAGATCTGTCTGGCCACTGTAGGGAGAATAGCTTGCCAAGGAACAAGAAGAGTAGGTTAGTGAGACCCTTGAGGATGCTATTGACAGTGTCCAGGCAGCTGGCAGCGGTGGCTGGGACCAAGCTGAAGGCATTAGGGATGGAGAAAAGTGAACTTGGTCATGGTTTGGGCCCTGGGGTTGTGGAAAGGAAAAAATCAAGGTCGGCTTAGGTTTCTGATTACTTCTGTTTCGGACAAGTTGTGTCTGAGGTGCCTGGGAGAGATTCAAGTGGGGATATCAAGTGGGTAGTTGGAGGTATAGGTTGGAACCTATCTTCATGTGGGAGACACAGAATTGAAGTGATCACCCATGATGCCAGGGGCAGAAGAAGTCTTTCAGGGAGTGAGTTTATAGTGAGAAAAAGACCAAGACATTAATGACCCTTTGGTGAGCTGAAGTCTTCCTCCTGCAGCGCCCACCTTTTAGCTGTCAGGGGTAACACAGAACAAGTCAACCCCCTCTGTCCTCTGGTACTTGGGACTAAATCTACTCTTTTATCTTTGCTTTCGGACCTGTACCCACCCCATGTGCCTACTCTTTTCTGAGTACCATCTCGATTATCAAAGTGTCTCTTGAATTGTGATACCCCAAACCCCAATCTGCAGTATCTGAGGTGTGCCCCGCCCATTTAATGTGTGGTCTAAGAGCATCACAGGCCTGGTACCTCCCTTGGCCCAAAGCCCATTCACATACTGAATTAATACAATTCAGCCTACAGGCAGACTAGGAAGGCTATGAGATGATAACCAGAATTTTCCCAATTGGGTCACCCAAGAGGAGGTTTCTGCCTGTTGCAATCCCTCAAATCCTTCTACTCATTGTTGGGCATATAAAGTAAATTTTCCCGCTCTTTTTAGGAACCTTGCTCCACTAATCATTTCTTCTCCTATAGCCTGAACTTCTATTTTGAACTACAGGCTCTTCCTCTCAACATTTAAATGTGTTAGTGTATCTCCATCTTAAAAATAATAAAATAAATTCATAGAGCTTCCAGGACTTTACACCATTCTCTAGCCACCACCTATCTCATATTCAACGTCTGGTGATTCAACAGATATCTACTGAATATCTACAATGTGCCAGGAAGTGCTTTAGGCGGTGGATTGGAAATGAACAGAATGGGCACTATCAAGACTGGAGCTCATACTCTAGCTTCAAGAAAGGATAGCCCACCTTCTGACTTTATACCTGAACATTCCATTCATACCTCTTTCACAGGCCACCTGGCTTTTTTGTCCTTATAGGTCTACAGGAGTTCTTTCCACTAAAGCCCTAAAAGACCTCCTTGTTGCACCTTCTTTGCCCTAGAGAATCTCTCAGCAGCATTGGGTCCAATTGACTCTTCTGTTCGTCAAACATTCTCTCCTCTTGGCTTCTATTAGACTCCATTGCATCTTAGTTTCCTGCTCACCTCTCTGCTCATTCCTTTGCATTTGTTGCAGGCTTCTTTGTTTCTATCCTCCCTTTAAATGTTGGTGTTCTCTAGGGGATGGAATGCTGCCTTCTCTTTTTCTCACCCTGCACACTCTTCATTGCTGGTCTGCCTTCTCTAGGCTTTATCCATTACTGACAAATCAATAGTTCCCGACCTTAATACACAGTTGTCTCCTGTAGGAACCTCAAGCCCAACAATTCAGAGGCTAAGTGTGTAATTAACTTCTTTTCTTTCCCTCTAAAACCTGTTCTTCCTTCTGAGTAGCCCAGTTCATTTTGTTGTCCAAGCTAAAAACCTGTCAATCACCTTAAGTCATTTTCTTTCCCTTCCCCCAGTTGTAGGTGGTCAACCAAGTTCTGTAAGATCTAGCTTCCTAGTATCTCTTAAAATGCTTTAATTCTCTCATCCTAGTGGTCACGTCTTTGCCCAGGCTGCTGCCTTCTTTCACCTCCATTGTGAAAATCTCCAATCTTACCATCCGTAGTCTTGCCCCCTCCCCCCCATGTGTTCTCCACGTGGAAGCTAGAGAAATCGGTCTAATCCTTCTGCTAAAATGCTCTTTTCTCACTTCTTTCTCTCCATCTCCTCCTCCTTCTGTTTCTTTCACAAGAGACTCTCACTCAGGTATTGGTGTTTCTAAGAAGGCTATCTGCTCTATAATTTGGGTCAAATGGCCTTTTAACCATGGCCATTAATGCCATATTATTTTTGGTCTATCTTGCCCTCTAGTCTATAAACCACTAGAGGAAGGGACCAGGTGTTATTGGTCTGTGTATCTTCAATGTAGAAAGAAATTTAAATTGTTAATAATAGCTAATAAAAACATTATGCCTACTGCCCTACATTAATTAGTATCGGTTACAAGAAATGCCCCAGAGCCAGGTGGGGAGAGGTTCCTGACTGTGAAGAATTTTACCACTTGCTGAGCTGAGAATGTGAGGGTGGTTGAGAAACATATTTATAAAAGAACTATTGTTACCTCACTTCTTACGACTGCCCCATTGTTGATTGTGGTGGCATGACTGAGGGTGCTGGTACAGGGCCACCAACCCCTGGGAGAAGATGACAAGCCAACTCTTTTTTTTTTTTATAACAAGTGTTCTTTCTCTCTCTCCTCTCTTCCAGGCATATGGTGAGCTTCTTCCTTATATTCACCCAGATGGGCTTCTGCTGTGTGTACATTGTGTTTCTGGCTGATAATTTAAAACAGGTAGAGTCTTCTAGAGAATATGGGAGGGGAAAGGACTTGGAAAAGTTGTTCAACAAATGGCTTCTTCTTTTAGGTGTCCCAGTGTCCTAATCAATATGAAAAAAGAAAGTTAAACTAGATGCTGTCAAAAAATCCAGACTTCCCCCAGCTCACTTATCTACAGATATCTCAAAGTGGTTACTTTTCCCACAATACCCTTGGACTGGTCCTCAAGGTTGGTCTCTAAAATTAGACTGGAAGAAATCTTGCTTTAGAGCTTAATCATCCTTAACTCTCCTAAAACTGATATTTTCTGGTAATACTTAACCTTCTTTGGGCCATCTTTATCTACCTTTAGTTGCCTAATCTTTATGGATTAACAGTTGTCCCCAGGAAGCTCTTTTAATCTAACCCAGAAGTTATCTTGTAGCAATTTGATCAAAATAATACGAGCAACAACAGAGGCCATCCTTAGTCAATCAATAAGCTTAAAAGTGAAAACCATTCTTTAGGGGTCTTTTCTGTTTATGGTAATATCAGAAATTTAGGAATGTAAAAAAATTAGAAAGCAGGAAAAATATAGTAAGCATTTAGACTTAGCTTCTATTATGTGTCAGGTACAGTGCTGAGCATTTATATGCTTTCCCTCATTTAAGTCTCTCCATGCCCATATCAAAATAGGTACTGATGAGAAAACGGGTGCTATAAACTCTATTAATGTATATAAGGTCACAGAGCCACAGTATAAAATGCAGGCCTTTTGCCCTGGCCAGTGTGGTTCAGTTGGTTGGAGTGTCATCCCCTACACCAGAAGATGGTGGGTTTGATTCCTGGTCAGGGCACATACCCAGGTTGTGGGTTCAATCCCTGGTCCAGACATATGCCAGAGGCATCGGATCTCTCTCTCTCAAATAATTTTTTTTTTAATTGCAGGCCTTTTCACATCAGATCTCAAGTTCTTAAACACTATGCTATTTGCTTCTAAAAACAAAGCAAAATTAGGCTTAAATTTTTTTTAATTGATTTAAGAGAGGGGAAGGGAGAAGGAGAGCGAGATAGAAACATCAATGATGAGCGAGAGTCACTGATCTGCTGCCTCCTGCATGCCCCCTACCAGGCATTGAGCCCAAAACCCGGCCATGTGCCTGGACTGGGAATCAAACTATGATCTCCTGGATCATAGGCCAATGCTCAACCACTGAGCCATACCTACCGGGCCCAAAATTAGTCTTAATGCAATCAACTCATGGTTATTGTTTTAACTTATTATTAACTGGTTAGCATTTTGCAGTTTCCTTATAGTTTTTAATGTAATTTTGAATAGTTTACTAACATTTCATCACACAGATTGACCATGACTTGGTCTTCTATGGTTAGATATATCCTGTTTCCCTTTGTTTTTTGACCATTATCCATACAAGTCTTAGTATACCCCTTTATTTCTTTAGTATATATTTCTTAAAGTAAAATTAATGGGTCAAAGAGTTTGATTGTTTCGAAGGCTTTCAAAACATATTGCCAGATTGCTACTTAGAAATCAATCTGATATCAGCAGAACTTTATTTATCATCTGTCTAGAGACAAGGCAAGCATTGTCTTGAGTTTGCAGGCTCAGTGGAATGTGTTCTAAAACATATAAAAAGTTAAATGTCAATATGATATTTTGGTGCCAGGTCAGGACACTAACACCACTGTGAGCTTGAGGTGCTTAATTGTGAACTAAGGGGTAGAAATGTGAGGGTGGCAGGAAGGATCATTAGAGCAAGGGAAGGCTCCCTTGCAAGATGCATCTGAGCAAGATGCTGAAGAGCTTTGGTGGCAGCCAAGGTGGAAGAAAGGAGGAGTGAACACCTGGGGGCAGGAATGCAGGGGACTTACTCAGGAGAGGCAATACAATTGGTTGTAGGAGAGCCTTCAAGGTTGAATGGAGCCCATTTATGGAGGGCCTTGAATGCCTGGCTCAGGTTCCAAGTATTTTTCCTACTGCAGTGAGGAATCAGAAAAAAACAAGACAGTGATTTATTTAAGTATTCATGATATGCTGTTAAATGAGAAGGACTTTTCAAAATAAGAGTGTATGCTGTGATTGCAGTCTTGTAAAATAACAAGGATTCATATTATACATGTCATTGTGATATTGTATAGAAAATGTATAGATGCATATATTCCAAGGCATTACCATGGCTACCCATGGGCACTGAGATGGTCATTGCTTTACATTTTCCTCTTGCCTAACTCTAGTTTCTAATTGTTCTGCAGTAGGTGTTTATACTGTGTGGGGGAGGGTGTTTCTTGTTTATCTCAATGATTGAGGGATCCTAATAGATTTTATTGGCGTCCTGGGGTGCTAAATGTCCTTCAATGAATGGTCCAGTCCTCACAAGAAGAGTTCTCTCACTCAAAATGCCACTATTGGTGTATTTAAGAAACAATTAAGTGATGGGGTTTTTTTTATTTGACGAATATTGGCTAACTTCCAAAATGACAGAGAAAGCTTAAAAAAAGAGAAAGGTCTCAGAAAAGAACAGGAACCAGGGCCGTTAGGGAGATGTAGATAGAACTGACGCAGCCTCCTCAGGGATCCCTGGTCAGAATTAAACTTTATCCTTTCTTGTTCTGTCCCTGTGTCGTTGCGTCATTTTGCTAGTTGTTTAGATTCAGATTGCAGAGAGAGACGGTGAAAGCCCTAGCTTGAGTCCAAGGCCAGTCCTTTAGTTCTGCCATATGATTGCGACTTATAGTCCTCCAAGGTTGTATTCGGGGGAGAGAGAATTCACCAAAAATAAATCAAAATCAGGAGGAAAGGATGCTGAGTTGCCAGGAGCCAACAAATAGTCAACATAAGTCTAGTTATTTATTTTTTATTTATTTTTATTAAAGTTATTTGTGCTGCCTCTTGAGGAGGTATGGTGCAGATGATTTACAATAAGAAGTTCCTAAATTCACCCTAATTCAAGTGAGACATTCCAGCCCTCTGGGAGGGAGTTTGATTGTGGGACAGGCACTGAGCTAATCATATGGCCAGAAGATGTACTGACTCTTCCGCTCGCTTTTCCCATCCTTTCCGCAGGTGGTGGAAGCTGTTAATGGCACCACCAACAATTGCCATTACAATGACACAGTGATTCCTATGCCCACCGTGGACTCTCGACTCTACATGCTCGCCTTCCTGCCCGTCCTGATGTTGCTGGTCCTCGTTGGGAACCTCCGGGTCCTGTCCATCTTCTCCATGTTGGCCAACGTCAGCATGCTGGTCAGCTTAATTATCATCTCCCATTACATTGCCCGGGTGAGTGCACACCGCACACCTCACTCCTGCAGGGGGCACATAGCGCATTTGCTTCCCAGACTTTTCTCCTCTTCAACGTGTAGCTGATTAAAGAAGAGGAGACTTTCATATTTAATTCCTTTGGGCTCCCTGAAATATCACTGTAACTGTAGTCATAATTTCCGAGATGCATAACCACTGTACACTCAAAGTGTTCTTGGGCACTTCAGGCTGGCGCTGACCTATGGTGTGCAAGACTCTCTTTTGTTGGATTCTGATAAGCCAAACTCCCTTGTGAGATACTGATTCTTCAATACTTGGACAATACCTCCATGTTTTTTCCCCTGGCTCTTTGTTAGTGTGCAGTGTTAAAATCAACTTTGATAATTGCCTACTTCCTTTTGAAGCTTTCTAAATTTCTTGATATTTGATTTTTTAAATTTTTTTTTATTCTGACATTTAATTTTTTTTTTATTCCAATTCTACTGTCAGGATACCCTCTTAATTAAAGGAGCCCAAACATGCTTTGAGGGTTAATGTCTTACCCCATTTCTCTTTCCTATAGGATATTTCAGACTCTAGCCAGTTGCCACTTGTAACAAGTTGGAAGGCCTACTCTCTCTTCTTTGGAACAGCCGTTTTTTCATTCGAAAGCATTGGCTTGGTAAGGCTTGGGTTGGGGTAGAATTTCCCTGGTGCTTTGTGTGTGGCCTTCTGAGCAGGAGCTGGGAGCTCTGGGTTTCTGGGTTTCTGTGCATGTGGGAGAAAGTAACCTCTGGCCTCACTAGGGTCAGTTGTTATCAGCAGGAGAAAAGTAGGTTACAACAGAGAGGCAGTCAGGAGACAGAGTTCTGTTCTTGTCCCAGGACATCCATTAAGCATGTATCTTCCTATCAACATGTGTTTCCTAATCTTTTAAAATCAAGACAAATGGAGGTGTACAAATTTGATGAAACATAAAGGAGTTTTAAACTGGAAAGTACTGTATAGTTATGATGGATTATTATGTAGTCTCTACTTCCACACTTGAGGAAGGATAGTGCTATGTATATAATTTTTAAGTTTACTTTTAACTTATATATAGTACACTTTACTTTTTGAGAGGGATGGAGGAAGGTTGTACGTTTCTGTAAGTTTTAAGAAATGCATAGAGTCATAGATGCACTGCAGTCAGGACACAGAACAGTTCCCTCACCACAAAAAACTACCCCTACCACCATTAACCCCTGGCAGCCACCTTCTGTTCACTGTCTCTGCTGCCTTATCTTTTCCAGAATATACAGGGGAACATTTTGAGACTGGCTTCTTTCACTTAGTGGCATTTAAGATCATCTGTATTGTTGCACACATCAGTAGCTTATTGCCTTCTGTCTCTTGAGCATCCACTGTTGCAGCAATACTACAATTTGTTTACCTGCAGGAGGATATTAAGGTTGTTTCTAGTTTTTGACAATGATGAAGAATGTTGCTATAAGCATTTGCGTACAGGTTTTTGTGGGAACGTAAGTTTTGATTTCTCCTGGAGTAGGTTTGCTAGCTCACAAACAGAATATAATTGAGTCTTATTTCTTAAGCCAGTCTGACCATCTTTGTCTTTTCATTGATGTGGTTAGACCATTTGCAGTTCATGTTATTATTATTATGGTTAGCAGGTCTGTGTTTTATATTTTAGCTTTCCTTTCACTTTTTCTGTTTTCCCTTTCTTACCTTCTTTTAGATTATTTGAATACTTCTTAGTATTCCACTTCAATTTGCCATATTGGATTTTTGACTAGTATATCTCTTTCTCTAATACTTTTAGTGGTTGCTCTGGGGATTCTAATATACATATGCAGAGTGTCCCAAAAAATGTAAACACACTTTGAATGATTATAAAGTTAGTGTTTGTTAACATACAGTTCATTTTCAAAATTTAAAAGAATCTACAGAAATGAATAATTTTTTTTGTCAACACCTATTTTCAAACTGATGACTTTTCTGGTCCAGGCACTGCTGATAATGCGAAGCAGTGGAATTACAAACATCAAGAATCATTTTGTTCAGTATTTGTGCGCCCTTAGTTCGTCGACTATTGCCAGTTTTATACCATAAACTTTATCTTTTATGCATCCCATAAAAAAGTCTACTGGATACATTTTCTCTGTTCAAAGCTTAGTATGGCTTCACCTATTATTTCAAATTGGTTAAACCTGAAAAGGAGTGAAAACTAAGTGAGTTATCAGGGTGTCCCCAAAAAATGTATACACACTTTGAATAATTTTAAAGGCAGTGTTTGTATTTCAACTGCGTTTTCAAACTTCCAGTAGCATTTTAGAATAAATTTCCTTTGTTCAAAGCTTAGTCTGGCTGAAAAGAAAGAAACACTCATTGAATTATCAGCTGTTAAAGTATGTATACATGTTTTGGGGACACCCTGTATAGCTTTGCACAGTTTACTTATAGTTAACATTTTATCGTTTCTGGTAAACTGTAAAAATCTTACAGTCACATAGGACCCTTTTCTTCCCTCCCTTTATGTTGTATTGCCTGTATGTATTATATCCAAATACATTAAAACTCCATCAGACAATGTTATGATTCTTGCTTTCAATAGTCATACATTGTCCTTCATTACAACAAACTTACTAAGAGAAAAATAGTCTATTATATCTACCCAGATAATTACCATTTCTGTTGCTCTTTATTCTTAAATTCACAAGTTTCCCTCCTGTATCATTTTCCTTCAGCATGAACACCCTTCATTAGCATTTCTTTTATTTTTTAATTTTATTACATTTATTGGGGTGGCATTGGTTAATAAAATTACAGTGTAGGTTTCAAATGTACAGTGCTATAATACATCATCTGAATATTGCATTGTGTGTTCATCACCCAAAGTCAGGTCTCCTTCCGTCACCATGTATTTGCCCACCTTCTATGGGCCATGGTTCCACTGTTCTGGACTAATAAAATGATTATTTTTAGCCTGGAGAATTTATGCAGCTAAAATGTATTACAGGATGGACTGTCTGCTCTTCACATAGTCCCCATGATGTTTTCCTGAACACCTGCTGCAACTGGGAACCTGCCCCTTACTCAGAAGGAAGTTGAAAAGCTTGGCAATGACCCCTACATAGCACTCCCCCCACGTAGTTCCCATTTGCATGGGGCAGGGGGGAGATGCATGTAGGACAAAAAGTTACTAACAGTACAAGGGCACAGATGCTAAATTCCTACTAAGCAATACACATGCCCAGTGCTGTAGGAGTATAGGCAAGATTGGGTAGACGCAAGCACTTGGACTTTGGAGGACAACCCTAGTCTTGCATCTTCAAAGCCTTGTTTTCCTCATCTGTAAAATTAGAACTGTACAAGAACCAGCTTCAGAGAGTTGTGGCCTTCACAGTGTTGGTTCAAAAGACAGAAGTGACCTTTGGATGCCCAGCAGGCTCAAGAGACAGGCTGGTCTCCAGTTGGATCCTCTTAGAGCCAGGGATGCATCTGGGGTGAAAGGATCCTGAGAACATGGTGTGGGGAAAAATGTGCCTCTGGGGAACCAGGAAGCCCTGGTCCCAGCTCTGCCACCAGCCCACTGTGTAACCTGAGTCTCAGCTCCCCATCTGTACAGAGAGGGATGAGTACACTGGAATCGTGAGTAAATTCAGATGCCTTTGGAAGGCAGTGTGGGTGACGAGGCCAGGTATATGTCAGTGTGAGCAGGAGAGGTGGGCCTGGCGAATGGGGAAAGAATGTTGTGCCTGAAGGTATTCATAGTCCGTTGTCATAAAGACTATGGTGGCCAAAGAAAACGCATCTGGCCAGATCGGGCTGCACCAACGGGCTGAGCTCCTTGGTCTGGCCCTCCCAGCTCTGAATGGTCCAGGGTTTATCTTCTAACTCTTGGCTTTCTTTCCTTTCTTTCTTTTTTCTTTAACTGTGGTAAAGTACACCTAACAAAATTCACCATCTTCACCATTGTAAGCATCCAGTTCACTGACATGAGAGACATTCACATTGTGCAACCCATCACCACCATCCATGTCCAGAATTCTTTTCATCTCAAGAAACTGAACCTCTCTACCCATTAAACAATGACTCCTCATTCCCCTCCTCCCCAGTCCCTGGAAACCACCATTCTACTTTCTGACTCTATGAATTCGACTACTCCAGGCACCTCATATAAATGAAATCACGCAGTATCTGTCCTTTCATGCTTGGCTTGTTTTATTTAGCATTATGTCCTCAAGGTTCACCCATGTTGTGGCATGTATCAGAATTTTCTTCCCTTTTAAGTTCAAATAATATTCCATTGTATGTATATACCACATTTGTTTATCCAATTATCCATTAACAGACACTTCTAAAAAGCTTCCACCTTTCGTTATTGTGAATCATGCTGCTGTGAACAGGTGTGCAAATATCTGTTCAAGTTCACGCTTCCAATTTTTGGGGGGTATATACCCCGAAGTGGCCTTCCTTTCTTCTTTATTTTCATGTCCCCCTTTCTCCTGCTGTCCTCTCACACTGTGATGTTTCTGTAGGTTCTGCCCCTGGAAAACAAGATGAAGGATACCCGCCGCTTCCCAGCTATCCTGTCTTTGGGAATGTCCATCATCACTGCCCTGTACATTGGCTTCGCGGTTCTGGGCTACCTGCGGTTTCAAAATGACATCAAGGCCAGCATAACCCTTAACCTGCCCAACTGCTGGTAACTTTATGGGCCCCCAGTGGTGGGGACTCGGGGCCTCGTGGGAACGTTTAGGTCACTTCCTCCTCCCTGCCACAGATGGCAAACTGAGGTCTAGAGGACCTCTCCAGGGAGAAGCAAAGCTGTTGCTGGAGCCCTGGGCTGTGGGTTCTCTGTTCAGGGAGCTCCTCCAACCACAGCCTCTCATTTGAGTGAGGCCTTATTAGCTCAGTATGAAGAAGGACATGACTTAGGAAGGAAGGGATGAAGTGAGAGCCCTTGGTCACCTAAGGAGAGAAGGGAAGGGTCTGGGGGAGGGCAAGAGGCAGAGAGAGGAGTCCGTGGGTGGCAATACTTCCATCATGTTTGCCAAGGCTGTGTTACCAAGTCTTGCTTGCCACAGCCAGTGGTGCACATCCCCATGTTAGAGTAGCTACGATGAAAAAGTCATAAAGCAAGAACCAACTTGGGACGGCCACTGTCAAAATGTTTTATTTACATGCACTCAGTTCATGCAACAGTTAGGCGAGCCAGATTTCAACAGTGAAATATTTAAATGGACACATGAACCCGTATTGGATTGTGAGTATTTTCTCCACACTGAGGCATATTGTCAATACAGGATGCCTGCCTTTTTAAGGGTCACTTGGAGGCTTAGTTGGCCTTAAATGAGGTACCTTTCCCAAGCTGGTAAATGTCATCCATCAAGCATTCACTGCATGCCAATTATATGCAGATGCCAGACTAGATACGTGGGGGTGCAGTGTGTGCTGATGTGAGTAGATTATGAACTTGAGCTTCACTACCTTCCCTGACTCATAATCCAGTGGGAATGGAAGAGGAATAGATAGTATATACAAACAGTTATAACATAGAATAGGAAAAAAAGCCCTCCAGAGGAGCANAAGGAGCAGAGTGTCCCTGGGGACTTTCAAGGAAAGAAACTACATTGGACTAGGACAACAGAGAATCTTGTCAAACAGGACAACTCTGGCACTCCTGGGTCCAGGTCTCAGTTGCATACCTCCTAGTTTGTGGTCCGGGATGATTTACTTAACCTCTCTGACCCTCATCTATAAAGCAGAATTGTTATGAGGATTGAATTGGGCATGTCTAAAAGCATCTAGTATGTAGTACCTGCTCAAAAGATGGGAATTTCAATAAACCGGTGGAGTTTGGACAGATGGAAATGGAATAAGTGGTATTCCAGGCACTGGGCCTAGTGTGAGCAAGAAACACAGAAATGTGGAAGTTAGCCTTTTAAGGAATGTCCTAAACACAGACTCAGACATACGCATACACTCACAGGTTTATTAAACATGGGAGATGCATCTACCACATTTGTGGATTCAAGGAGAAATGTCCTATCTCCATAGGTGAAAAGGTCTTTGATAAAACTCAATATCCGCCATCACACACACTCTCTGCCTCTAACCTCATGCCCACAAGTACCCCGACCCCTCCTTTTACCCCCTGCCCCACCAAGCCCTCACACAACCCTATTTATAGACTGCCTCTTCCCCCAAGGATTTTGGATTCTGCAGTTCTCACAACCTACTAGACGCATTTGTTGAACAATTATGTGCCAAGAGCTCTGGGTGGATCCAGGGAATTCCTAAGGACTGTCAGAGATCACAGGGACCAGTGTTTTAGAGTTGGAGTTTTTGGCGTTTGCCACTTATCGCTTGCCTCTCCCTGGGCATGATACCAAGACTGAGGCTCTTTTTTTTTTTTTAAATATATCTTTATTGATTTCAGAGAGAGGAAAGGAGAGGGAGAGAGAGAGATAGAAACATCAATGATGATAGAGTCATTGATCGAGCCCGCAACCCGGGCATGTGCCCTGACCAGGAATCAAACCTCGATTGCCTGGATCTTAGGTCGACGCTCAACCGCTGAGCCATGCCCGGCCAGGCGGCTCTTTTCTAAAATCTAAAATTGAGCATCAGGTGATAGTGATTTGTGAAGGTGTTCTATATACCCATGCTCAAGATTCTTTTTATTTAGAGATGACCCTCTCAACTGTTGCCTTTCAAATCCATGAAGCTTCAGTCTATTTTCACTGCGTGCTCTGCTGTGACTCCCTCTTGGCTCTTAGAAGAGCCATCTAGCAGGTACTACATGCTAGATGCTTTTAGAAATGCCCATCACTTTCAGACAAGGAAACTGCAGCCAGAAGGACTGTCCTAAGGTCAGAGGTTAATGTTCCATGGAGGCCGGGTGTCAGCGCCCGGTGGTCATAGAAAGCATCACTGTTTTGTCCTGCAGGCTGTACCAGGCAGTCAAGCTTCTCTACATTGCTGGCATCCTGTTCTCCTACGCCCTGCAGTTCTACGTCCCTGCAGAAATCATCATCCCCTTTGCCATCTCCCGGGTGTCTAAGCGCTGGGCGCTGCTTCTGGACTTGTCCATCCGCTTCGCCATGGTCTGCCTGACATGTGAGTAGAAGACAGAGAGAAATATTGCTCTTCTCCTGAGGGCTATCAGAAATCAGCCAGATGATAAAGGATAGTCGTTAATAATCAGCACCGATTGAGCACTAACTGTATTTCAGGGACCACAAAAGGCTTTGCAAGTAGTAATTCATTCAAGCCTCAGGGACAACCTAATTCAAAATGTACCTCAGGGACATAAAAATTATTTTAAGCTAAAAACGTTTGAACAAGTAGCAGCCGCAGGGATAAAAAAAAAAAAAACACAATTTTATCTAAACTTCCTTTGCTAAATTAAGCCGGACCTCTTGAAAAGTAAAGCCACCATACATTTCCTCTCTGGGAGGTTTTCAGCCAGAAAGGAGATTAACCATCCTTACAAACTAATTACTTAAACTTTATCTGAAACTCTCATACCTTCCACTTTTCTTACGTAGAATCTCNTCAGCCAGAAAGGAGACTAACCATCCTTACAAACTAATTACTTAAACTTTATCTGAAACTCTCATACCTTCCACTTTTCTTACGTAGAATCTCTGCCCTCCCCCCTTTCACCTTATGAAATGGGGATATGAGCCCCTATCTTTGGCTGTTCCAGGAGCCAACTCACCTGAAGGCTCCCTATCCCTGAATAAAGTTTGCGTTTTCTCCTGTTAATATGTCTATTGTCAGTTAAACTTGCAGGCCCTCATCATGGAACCTAAGTGGGTAGCTTTTCCTTCCAACAACATGAATCTATATATTTGAAAAATGACTGGAAGGAGACACACACACCAAATTTTTAATGTGTAATGAATTAAAAATTCTCTAGTGAATGCAACCAAGAGTATTACAGGACTTTCAACTTTTTATGTAACTGAATGTATGAGAAACAACTGGTTTATGTTTTGAGAAAAGGATTTTTAAACTTTAAAAGCTTGGCTGAGTCTGGCGTGATCTGTCTATCCCGTATCATCTCTCGCAGGCATCTTGGCAGTCCTCATCCCCCGCCTGGACCTGGTCCTCTCCCTGGTGGGCTCCGTGAGCAGCAGTGCCCTGGCCCTGATCATCCCACCCCTCCTGGAGATCACCACCTACTACTCAGAGGGCATGAGCCCCCTCACCATCGCCAAGGACACCCTGATCAGCATCCTGGGCTTCGTGGGCTTTGTGGTGGGGACCTACCAAGCCCTGGATGAGCTGACCCAGCCAGGACACCCTATTGCCTTTTCCAACTCCACCACTTTTATTCAGTGAGAATGGCACAGCTCCTCACCCACCAGCACCTGACTTTTAATGATATGGAACTCTTTTATATATGCATCATCTTTATTTTGCAAGGACTCACCAGCTACAAGGTCCAAATGGTAATTTTTTTTTTTTAATTTTTTATTTATTCCTTTTCTTTTCAACTCTAGCTTTCCACTACCCTGAGAGCTCTCCCATGGAAGGTTCTCAATTCCATCCAACTTTTCTGCAACTCACATGGTGAATTTNAAAATTTTTTATTTATTCCTTTTCTTTTCAACTCTAGCTTTCCACTACACTGAGAGCTCTCCCATGGAAGGTTCTCAATTCCATCCAACTTTTCTGCAACTCACATGGTGAATTTCTCGCCTTGAATGGAGCTATGCAAGAAGCAGCCACCAGGGGCATCCAAGAGGCAGCAACTGGCAGAAGGGGGTGTGGCCAGCTAAGGCTGACCCTGATTTGATAGACAAAGGGTTCCAGCAAGGTGTGCCCATCTTCAGCATCAAGATGGATAAGGCCAAGAGGTCCATGGTGAGCCGCAACTCTCAGACAGAGAAAAGCCATCATATTTGTCAAGGGCAATAAACTTTCTAAACCACGGGTTAAAGTTTTGGCCCAGTTCAAGGATCCCAACATTGGATAGGAAGCTCGGAATCAGATGTGCCAGTGACGGGAAAAGGGGTGGACAATGACTTTATTTGGAATTATTTACTTCTTAAGTCTTACAACACCTTACCTACTGTATGCTAAGCATAGTTCAAGGCTCTTCGAATGAAAAAATGGCCACAAATTTCTCTTGACAATGTGACTTTTCAGCTCCTCCCATCGCATTGAGAGGGGAAATCTACCCCTTGAATCTCGTCTTAACCTTGGATGCGCTTTAGCCAATGGGACATTAGTAAATGGGATACAAGCAGAGATTTGGTAATAGTTTATGCATCAGGACTTTCATTTCTACTTCACCACCAGGTGAAGAAGCCTGGACTAGCCTACTGGAGGATGAGAGACCATGTGAAGCAGAAACCAATTACCCCAGTTGAGCCCCACCCCCCAAATCAGCCAACCTGTCAACTTCCAGACACATGAGTGAAGCCATTCTTAGACTGTATTCAGCCCCAGTGAAGCTGAGTCAGGCCATATGAATTGACCAGATAATCCACAGAATTGTGAGAAATAATAAATGTTTGTGGTTTAAGCCATAAAGTATGGGAGTCTTATGCAGCAAAAGTTAACTAATGCATCACTCTAAAAGACATACACCAATGAGTGAAAAAAGAATCCCTGCCCTCAAGAAGCGGTCTACTGTCCACTGGGAGAGAATGACAAGTAAGCAACTAATCATAGGTCCTTATAAGTCCAGGGGAACACTAACTGCTCTGGAGTACTAAGGATGACTTTCCACAGACAGTGCCATTGAGAACTTGGGTCTCTGACATTGAATCTGGCCTTCCTTCTACTCAGTTCTGCTGCCTTGGCATTCCAGTGCCCTCTGTCATGACCCTGTCTGGCAGCCAAAGGCCAGTCAACCTGAGACACCACCTATGCTCTTCCCCCCCTAAAACTTCTAAAATTGGGACAATGCCCCTAGATAACCAAGTAGATGTTATAGGCAGATCTGTAGTCTCAGGGAAGGGAGAGTCTCATCATATTCTCTATGGTTTATGGAGTGACCCATGCTTCTTTCAGCCTCGGTTTTAAGAGAACATTTGAAAAAGGCTTTTCCTGCTTATTTTCAACCGTCGATCTCCCCATGCAGCCTAGGGAAGATTGGGGGTTGGAGGGATGGGGGGAATATGTGTCTGTGCCAATTCCCAAGTCCTGGTGTGCTCCTTTTCTGTTACTGTCTACCTACTGGATTTCCAGAAGGTACTTCAAGAGCACAAGCCCTGTTCAGGTAGGGGAAGGACTGGCCGGCCACACCCAGATCCCATGGTCTGCAGAGTACCTGCCTGGAGATGGGACACTCAGCCTGTGCCCTGGTCCACAGCCCACCTGGCCTGGTAGCGGCTTAGCACTTCCATGCTGCGCGCTCCTGTTTCATCGGGCAGACCCAAAGGACTTCCACCGAGTAATCAGAGCCTTGGCAAAGCCATCTTTCTCTCTCTGAACTTGTCGCTCCCACCCCGGGCGCGTGCTGGGCAGGGGTTCAGCTGGGTGGACTGGGTGTGGGCGTGTGTGTCTCCCGCAGGCTGGCCGTACGCTAGGTGACGCTGCTGTGTAAGCGGT